CGAGGTTATGTAAAGTTCCATGAACTTTTACAAAATTCAACTTTATTTGTTTAACTTCTACAAAGATCACTGAACTACTATAAATTCACTTTAGTTTTATGAAGCTTTCTCGATCTTTTGAAAATTTCTTTTATTTGCCATCAAGTTCTATATAAATATTGAACCAAGTTCTATCTTTAAAGAAGATTTAATTATTTTTTTAGATCTTCTACATTTCTTCAATTTATCATGAACATCTCCAAAAACTAGCTCATCAAGTTGAATCAAAATTTCAAGTGTTTTTGGTGGAAATTATTGGGATTGATATATGTAAGGTTTCAATAAGTATGGTGGCAAGTGGTTAGGTAAAAAAGATTAGCGGTGGAAGTGAAGATTTAGATCAGATTGTGAAAGGGGGAAAATTGTGAGCAGCAGAAGGAAACGACGATCCAATACGAAGAGGGAACAAACGGTTGCGTCCTTTGCGTAAGATGACCAACAGATGGAAACAGAGGGAATGGATGATTTTCTCCTCGAACAAAAGATAAATACAAAAATAGTTTTGTGTTGAGTTAGTTGAGTTAAATTTAATGGTATTCTAATATATGAATGGGTAAAGGTCTGAAAATTGGACCTTCTACCGGTTGGGGAGGATTGTTTAAGAAGATAAAAAAAAAGTGAATAAGAGTAGGCACGAGTTGCTATCAAGACGATGGTGAGGTTGGAGGATCTTGCACAAGTATATTACACGGATGGAGAGTGCAGCCCAATTTTGGGTTCGGGTCACTCCGGAATCGGTAGGGTTTTACTCGTGTTTGAGTGAATGTCGATCATGGTCTTGCAGATTTTCCGGAAAATCTGCAGCAATGTGGGTGACATTTGATCAAATTTGGATGGACTTTTGCTCAATTGCGGATGGATACAGTTTCACGGTATTTCAGTGAAGTGAACTTGGATTTGAGTAGCATTTTTTGAACGTGTAGAAATAGGTAAGACAACAACCAATTGAAGCGTTTGTTGTAATTCCATCTAGGGTCAGTTTATCATTTACCATACATTTTAGATGTAAGTATGGTCTTAATTTTATTTCAGCAACCTTTTCTTCCAGCAAACGCTCTGAACAGCAATTTCAACATTTATAAAAAAATCTACATTTACCAGCAAAACTGACTGGGTGTATCCTTTGGCTTACCTTGCCTACAAACATAATTCCTAAATTCCCGAGACATTCATGAGGGGTCGTAGAGTTCTCTGCATCTCTGTTAAGTAAATGTTGGACTAACATACCTTTCCTATCCCTACCAGTTGCAACGACGTGGTCAGGACCATCGTTAACTGTTGGAGCAGGATATGTCTTTATCTGAGAGATAGTGATTATTTTCTGCTTACTATCTGCCCAGTAATAGACATCCGTCTTGCTCTTAATAGTTTTGAATTCGTACCACCTACGATATTGTGCAACTTGTTCGATGCTAATGCTAACATCTCCAAATTAACTGAAGTTTTAAAAAAGATCATTAACGTCAATTATAATATCTGAACTTCAGTGAACTTCAACAAAAATTCAATAATATCCTTCAAAGTTTGATGTAGTTCTACAAAATTATCTGCATTTCTAAGAAATTCATTGATGTTTAATGATCTTCTATATAATTTGTTGCATTCCTAGAAAGTTACCAGATGAAGATGTATGTAGTTTCACTACTACATGTTTTTCGGCTATGGAAGATAAAGCGCAGGTTGACGTAATCTACCTAAAGGCGGATTTTGACAAAATTGATCATAAAGTGTTGCTCTGCAAGCTATCGCGATTGGGAGCCTTAAATCGATTGGTGTCGTGGTTGTCATCGTACTTGACTGGCAGAACGTTGTACGTTAAACACGGATCTTATGTTTCATCGCCATTTGCTAGCACGTCCGGTGTCCCGCAAGGAAGTAATTTGGGACCGTTGCTGTTTGTGTTTTTTTTCAATGACGCTGCATCTACCCTTGGCCACAAGGGCAAGCTCGTATATGCTCGTATATGTGCATCGAGGACTGCTTTCTTCTGCAAAGGTTAATAATATGTTCGTGCAGCTCGAAAAAGCTTGTCATCAGCGTCGCCAAATATCATGTGATGACCTTCTATCGGTCCAAAGATCCGATATTTTATGAATACCACATTGATGATACTGTTCTTAGCAGAGTGGATCAAGTGACGGATCTTGGTGTCCTATTCGACTCGAAGCTTTCCTTTCATTCCCATTATGCGTCGATTATTTCCAAGGCTAATCGTCAACTTGGCTTCATCTCTAAGATTGCCGAGGATTCACGGCATTGTATTGTTTACTCGTATGGCCGATCCTAGAAAATGCTTCAGTTGTATGGGCTCCAAACGACGTAACATGGAACGTTGAGGCTGTACAACTGAAATTGATAAAGCGTTTACATATACTGAAAATGTTGAGGTAAAAAGTTGAGGTAAACACCAATATGAAATTCATCAAGGTGTTGTGTTTCGTGTTCCAATTAGTTAGTCAGCGCTGCCAACTCCAACAGTAGTCGGGACAATAGCTCACTATAATATATTCAAAATTGTGTAGCGGTTCGTGCTGGGACTCTCACACAGATGAACTGGGTTGTATTCTTCAAACAGCTCAAATAGTAATATTAATACTGATAAATCTTTAACACGATCATAACTGAACACTAGCTTTCGAATCAACTTTCATAAAAGTGCGAACGAAACATAAAATTGTTTTTATTTTATTTTGTTTCTAAAGATGCAGCTTAAGTTCCCCCAGAAGCTACTTAGAATGCTTTTCAACTATGGTACCGGAACTTTCAAAAATAAAAGTTAATAAAAGTCGACAAAAGACTTAAAAAAGTGGCTGCTTAGAATATTATAGACCACCGGACCAAGCTGCTTAAGCCTTAAATTGCCTTTTTCAGAACTTTTGGTTACTTGGGGATTAGCTTAGCTCAGATTTACTGTCCTTACCATGTATTTTTTACTTAGAGGAGTGGAGCTAATAAAGCATGGGCAGGATAGCTAGTTTGAGTGGTTACGCAGTTAAGGAGCGTTTTTCCAAGGTTTAAGGAGCATTTCATCGTGTTAAGTTTAGTTCAGTTTAGTTTATTAGCAAGACTTTCAATCGTGGTGCGCGTTAAATAATAAAAATATTTCATCCAATTGACCCAGTACCGTAACTGCGAACCATGGCACCTGTTTCTGGCTGTGTGTTAACAGAAATATGAAACACCAAATTTACGACTTGCATCAACTTACTCTGACGTTAGTCCCTTGCGCACGGATTCACGATTCATTGCACTCAGCAGCAGCCGCTCTGCAGTTCCAGTGAATCGAAGCAAGAAAGATGCGTAATATCCATCCTCCCACGCATCGTATCGTGCACCTGCACAAGTCAACTTTTCAGTTTCAGTTTTTCTTGACTCTGGGTTTCCCGATGAAACTAGCCACCACCCATCCCACAGCCATCAGTTGAATGAAAACCGGAAATTATGCCAGGAAGTGGCTTTTTCTCCTTCCGTTCCGCATTCACGCCGTTTCCATACCCCTCTTCGGACCATGTGGATGTTGCTGGTAGTGATGGTTTTATATTATAGAGAAAGGGTACTTGGGGGAGGCCCACGCAAGCGGTACGATGAATTCAATGGCTAACGAAGCGGAAAGTTGCTCTTTTGCAAAGATTTCAATTTTCATTCCTGCGTTCCATATTCTACGGTTCCATCAGGTGGACGAGAACGGGCGGATGGAAATTTATTAATTCAATCGAATCTTTTGAAAATTTAATTATTCACATCCGGTACAATGTACAAGGTGGAAGAGAATGGAACGTGGTCAACCGAGTGAAAAATATTGGTTTTATAATTGTTTCGGTTCGATATTAAATTACCCATATATGACAGCGGGAATTTAAGTTTCCATAAAAAAAGCATCTGTAGTTAATTCTAAAAGTTATTTATCTACCCACTTAGTCATTTGACAAAAAGTTCGGTAATTAATTTGAGAATAATCTGTGGGCAAAAGGAGCTGTGGATCTTTTCGTTTCCGGTGTATATTTTAAAGTTCACTTAAACTCATGTAATTCAAACTGCTTAATTTATTCCTCTCGTTGGAACGCACCTAGTGCAATGCTGGCTTCCGGTGTCAACTCCACTCGCAGGCAGCAAAGCTGCAGTCGACGGGGGTACCATCGTTGATCCTTTTACACGCGATGAAGACATCCGCAAGCGGGAAGACGACCTGCAGTTGCTGCAGCTGCACGTTCTCCCGTGTTCGCGGTGAGATTTAATGGCGAAGAAGAAATTTACAACCTTTTTACATCCCACTCCGTCACACGCTGCGAAGTCCTGATCCGGATTTACAGCCACGTTCTCGCCGCAGACAGATTACTCTTCCACTTCTGTCGGTCTGGGAATTGACTTCCAGGCTGCCGAGAACCCCAATGCTGCGCTGAGACTGTATGGTTGGCATGCATCAGACTGCAGCGCAAGACGGATTAAATCAAATTATCCAATCGAAGGGAGCTGCTTCATGCGGAATAATGGCACTGCGGTTGAACGATTTCCGATGCAGATATTAAAGCGTGAAGCATATCGGTTTGAGCTGTGAACTATGGTAACTTTTTGAAGCATTTGTTTGTAAACATTACCATATGACATCTATACAACTATATATTTTTCACTATCAGTTTCACTATTCTCGCGCTCTCAAAACACTCACAGCAAAATTTTTGGCGAAAGTAAAAACATCAGCTGGTAGCTGTCACCACCACCACCACCACCGACTCGAAAACGATCGTCGTCTTTTACTGCGGATTATTTAAAAATAGCACTACGCAAAACGACTATTTAGGAAAAAGCGGTTCCGAAAATGCATTTCCCGATTGCTGGCAATCAATCAGTTATCGCATCTTTTTTGAGTAAACCAATTTTCCAAATCAAGTTTTCCTTGATCTGCCTGCCTATTAATAAATAAGAGGTGTTACCGAGTAGCACAGATTAATTCTAAGGATCACCTTTTTCATCAACGTCAAGTTTCCATCCAGCGTTGAATTTTTTGCCTTCTGTCATCGGTAAAGATTCCTAATTGATTCTTTTTTCCAGGTAAACCAGTAATATATCTTCAACATAAACTTGAAATTTTCTAATTTCCCCAAAAATTTCACCTTATTTCAACAATCAAAATAATACATCCTAGATCTTCTTCCATTCTAATCTCTCTCGCAACTAAGCCCATCGGGAGGCAAATTTTTCTTCGATGCGAGCGCGAAAAACCAGCAACTCATTTTCCTCAATTCGTGGCGTGGTCAGTGAGTGTGTGAACTTGAGAGATTTCGTATCCGACATTAATGTGTGCTGTTGGCTTTGTTATAGGTATTTACGCAACCGGCGGCCGATCGTTCGTGATCGTGATCTTCACGAATTGCTCCAACCACAACCTACACAACAGCACCGCGGCGCACTCACTCGCACGAGGAAACTGGTTGAGCGAGGAGCGCATGGCATTTCTCGAGCAACATATGAGAAGGGCCTACAAGCCAAACGTAAACAATGACTTTGATCGTCGGTTGCTCACGAATCACAACTAACTAAACCATCTGATAGAGCAAACTTCCTCTATTAATCTAGATGTTGGTGTCGGTTTGTCTGAATGAGTACTTATCCGCGAGAAATCGATGTCTAATGTCATCGTTTGCATTTGGCTCGTAGGCCCTTTTCAGATGTTGCTCTATAATTTTACGGCAGTTGCGACATGTATCGTTCTCTTTGCTCCCTCTCTCTGACTTCCAACACGTGATCGTTCGTGAAAATGAGAGAGAAATTTGACAGATAAATCCGGGGGAAAAATCATGTTGTGGGAAATGGGTCAAAAATAAATCACAAATCTACAGAAGAAAAGTCGGTATGTTTATGCTTTCCATCATCGGAACGATGCACTCATATGGTTTGTAAGCGGTGGTGTTTTGTTTGTACGTACGGAACACGTGTTGATTCCTTGCGCAATGTAGAAATAAATGCTACTTTCATAATCGGGTGACTACGCGGCCAGTCCATACATTGAGTTTGTGGTCCAGAATGGGAATTTAGTAGGAAAGATGCATTTAGATCTTGAAATTGAAACATTCGAAAAAAAGCATCTTCTACAAAGTTGTCCCTTACAGTTTAGCCTAATACTAGGTTGATTCTTAATTGCATTGAAATAAAAAAAAAACTTTTTTCTTTGCTGAAATAAAGGTGTTTATTAGATTGATGGAAAATGTACTAATCGCGTAAATTTGGAACCTTGCAGTTTATTTTTTTTTTGTTTATGAATTGTCCAACTTAAACACATTGTCAGTAGTTCTCACATTACCTGAGCTTCAATTTAACATAAAATATTTTGTTTTAAATATGCGTGATTTTTAAAGTTATTATTTAATTTGTTTTTTTTTTCCTAAGCACACTATTATTTTAATTAGTGTATATCTTTCTAGAAAAGCACAATACTCCTACAGAACTTTTCCGAACACACTATCGCAATCAAACAAATCGTTCTGGAAAACAAATATCGCGCAACACGAGAAAAGGGCCTATCATTGTTGATCGATTTTCTCTTTCGCGAATAACCCGACTGCAAATGAATTTCCCATTCAGTGTGTTGTTTCAGGCGCAAGCTAACATCATCCTCTGTCGAACGGTGCTGCGATCTCAGCGATTAATTCGTTTATGTTGCCGTGGTAAACCAAAGAGAATCGATGTTACGCGAGAATGTGTCAAATGGCATGTTGAGCAGTAACAAATAACTGTGTAAAATTACAAGTAATTCTAAAAACATCGATCCGAAACGATTTGCTGCGTTTTGGAGCAATTTTCCTCAATTGACCTAGACTGAATCTAAAAAAAAAAAAAAAAAATTGTATTTTTCATTATTTTTTTATTTCATATTTCTCAGCAATATTGTCCAGAAATAACTGTTAGAAATTTTCAAGACGCTGTGCAGAACTTGTCGGTACCTTTTGCCCATCAAGAGTTTTGACGTTTTTCTTTTATACGTTGTTATCTCTGGTTGAAGCAAACATAAATCATTTTGACGGCATTTGAATTGGTGTTCATTATTCTATATAACATCAACAAATTAGGGACATTTTATTACTCCTTCCAACTTCCATAAAACTTCCATAAAATCAACTGGACTTTGATCATTTTTTTTAAATATAATTGGAAATAACTTCTTTAGATAAAGAGATAGTCCATGTATCAATTGCAACCATGTAGCTTGCAATGTTACGTGGGAGCGGAGAGTACCAATGAAAAAAAAAATTGAGAGCTGGTTACTAGCTGAATTTTCATATGTGCGCCCCCGAACACCTTAAATTCCCTTTCACGAGAGCCCATAATTGTAATGTGGGACCATATAAATAGATGTGTTAGGGAAACCACTTTTCCCATCACGGAAACGTCCCGTTTTCTGATGACAAAATTTCGCATTTTCGTGCACAAAACGCACGGAATTTTCGGTTTATTCAATAGATAAAAAAAAATGCGAAAATTGATTGGAGGAATTTCTTGCTTAAATTTTCAAATCACAAAATATTCCCTATCAAGATTTTAAATTCACGATTTTTTTGCTTTTCCCAGCGTCCTGGAAAAAAATTTACCTTCATTCGAAGTGTTCCTGGTAAATTGACAAGGTCATATCCCAAGCAACACGGCTTGTCATAAAGAAGTTGAAAATACTTTGTAATGACTAACGCAAAGAATCACTAATACTTTAATATACATCATTTAATACATTTATACAACCTAAAAAGCGCAAGACGCGGAGCTTATACAACTAAAAACTGGTCTTATAACATGTTTTGGAAACATCATAAAAACCAGTGACAAAAAAAAACAATAAAAAAAAAACTTGAGCATGGGATTCGATCACTGGTTCTTGGCGTGGTAGACTTGTTACTACCTAACTAGACCAACACCGTTTGATGAAAGGTTTGTTATAAGTATCTATCATGTTCTTGCCAATGGCATGAAAATTATTTTCTCGTTCATCACGCCTTCGATCCGTCATGAATACTTTTTGTTAGTAGCGAAGCGTACATCTAATTGCCAGAATGTTATTTAAACGTATTTTCAACTCCTTATAAGACAACCTGCACATTTTCAGTTGTATTAATTTATGAGATGTCATAAAAAAGTATTTTCAACTTTCTTTATAACAAACCTCCGAATACCTCATAAGAAACTGTCAATCACTGCATGAAGAGACAGTCCGGCTCAAAGGCACCGTCAATGTTTACGTCAATCTGGATTGATTTTGTATACGACAAGTTTTATAGTGGTATTAAAACAGTAAGATGCACGTTCAAATAACATTTTAAGATAAAAGCAAAAGAAAACAATTTTGGAAAATGTTGAATCAAAGAAGTATGAAGAAAACATCTTTAAACCTCATATATAACGTGGAATGTCTTCTGCATCTCTTATAATACATTTATACAACAAGCCGTTCTAATTCTTTTTCAAAAAGATGTTTTATGTGTGACTTGGGATGGTATTCGGTCATTACGAGAATTATTATGTACCACTTCAATACTGTTACACATTTGACCACAAACGTTTGGTTGCTGGGTAAATTATCAAAGAGCTTTGTGGGTGGTGAGGCTGACAGCAAGGCGAGTGAACAATCGATGAAAATTAACTCTTACATAACAAAAATGGCGAGCGAACAATCGCTGATAATTAACTCTTAAATAACAATAATTATGGTGGTCCTGAAAAGAACCGTTTTGTCGTAATGGTTGAGTAATGCTGAGCTATTAGGGTGTTCAACACGGATGAGCCTGGCAACATACAGTTGTTTGGAACGAGGGTGACGTGCTTTGCATAGATGGCCCACAGCGGATCACGACGAGCAACTGAATCCGATCAGTAGCGGTTTGACTTCTTCCTCCTTCTTCGGTGAATCGAGGGCTATTGAGGGCAGCCTTAATAGCTAGCTGCTTGCGGGGAGCCTTTCGTTGTGTACTGGAGAAAAATGTACAACGCCACGCGCCGAAAGCACTGGTGCTGCTGCTGCTGCTGCTGCTGATGATGATGTTGATGACCGGACACCACTACTCACCACACGCGGTGATTGACTAAGCACCGTTCGGCGAGACCAGTTGGAATTCGATTTTTAAATCTGTGTTAGGGAAAGTTCATTTTACAGGCATTCGATGATAATTTTTATCACCATTGCAATAGTTGGATATTTTTGTATTTTTCAATAGGGACCTATTGGAAATTGATAAGGAGTTGCGCATTCATGTCATGGAACGAATAAAACCTGATCATTTTACTTTACAACTGACGACATATTTGCATAGAAATCACGTTTTGGAAAAAAAATAATTTTGTGGTGAAATGTGCTTTTAAAGTGTAATGTTTTATATAAATATGTTCATTTAGAAAAAGATTTGTGATTGGAAGTGAAATTTGTGATTATAACTTAAAAAATTACCGGGAAGTTCCGAAAACAATATTGCAACCACTTGTTGGATCACTTTTTCTTCTGGGAAAAAGATGTGCCTGTGTGTGTGCAAAAATAAGAGTAAATTTAGTGGTGTGAATACAATCAACGTGCTGCATTTCTGTTAGTAAACAAACCGCTTTGCTCAAAATAAATTTTGTCTTGCATGCGTGTGTTTAAACCGTTTAAACAGACGTACCTAGCGTCATTCGTTTAAAATCGATCATAATATGGATGCAAAACGATAAACAGTTTAGTGTAGGACAACAAATTCCGAATATAAGCTAACGAAGATTTGCAGCTCAACCAATAAACGACTTAAAACGAATGAATACGAAACAACCCAAAGAATCATGGAGACAGTTTTTATCGGTAAGTTATATTAAAGAGCTGATACATATTACGAACACGCTCAAATTCTGAGCACTTGTGTTTTTGTATGGGATGGATTTTGAAAAATTTTCTTTTAGGATGTCCATATTACGATAAGTCGTGAGTTTAAATACATTCTGAGCGGATCAGCAATATTTTAGGTAAAAAAGGTGTTTTTCAAAGGATGATTTTAACGCACTGTTCGGAATTTGAATCAATACGGTAAATCGCGCGATGATC